ATTTCTTATTCTGGTATAGTCATACGTGAATTGTTAGTGAATGAATTTCCAAATAAGTGTGTTGTTAATGTACTTAACAAAATTATCTCTTATATTCTGACTTATGGTTCCTTGGTTTTCTATATAAATACGCTGGGGATCGTAATATTTTTTAAAGTGATAACTTCTTAGCACTTAAAGCAGCATTAGGTTCATTTTTTTCATTTTTTAAGTTAAGTGGTGGTATAATCTAAAAACAGTTGAGTTTTAGATTCTAAATGACATTTTTATAATTTCGAGGGAAGTAACTTTAATTAAATTAAATTAATTTAATAAGTACATAAATTAATAAAATATATTTTAGTAGGAGAGAGGTTTAAAAGTAAAAAATCTCCTATTATTTTCATAACACTTGAAAAAACCTAAAAACTAAAAAACAAAAATTAAAGAACAGCATTAACTTTAAAAAAAAGAAAAACGAATTTATTATTTTGATATATTTAGAGAATACTAATATACTAATACTTGACATTTTTGAAAAAAATGTGTAAATAATATTCAAGATAATATATAGTTCTTAGAATGTTATGAGCTATTTAAAATCAAAATTTTTAATCTACTATTTTTCCAATTATTTTTAAAACTATTTGGGTTTTTTTTATTTTCAGACCACTCAAAACACTAGATCTGATTTAATATTTTATTGCTCAAAAAAAAAAAATTACAGATATATAAGCAATTGTAAAACCAATATGTTCATCGCTCCTTTCAAATAAAAACATTATAAATATTAATTATTTTATAACTTTTTATAAAATTCTATTTTAGTTTAAGTACTCAAATGATAATTAAATAAAATATTAAGATATCAATTAAATATATTCTTAAATTCCAATTTTAGTCCAAAAAAAAAGATCAAAACTAAAACTGTAGCTTGAGAATAATTATAAACAATTAAATACTTAACTAATATTATGCAATATTTACAATTATATTTTAATATAGAATTTATTATCCGAGTAATAAAACTGACAAATTCGTAAATGGTTGTCAATATTTATAAAATTTGTTAAAATAATAGTACTTAAAGTTAGTTCTTAATTAATTATAGTATATTTAATTTGAATATTTCTGAATTAAAATATTAAAAAAAAAAAAAAAAAAAAAAACAAAAAATATACATGATAAAAATGTGAGCCCATTATTCATTATTATCACAATGTGTTCACCCAAAATCGACCACCGTGACATATACAGAATTACATAAAAGACCATTTTTTTTTTTTTTTTATACATATATGTTTAATATAAAACAATGTTAAAAACATTATGTATATATATATACATATTACGTGTGTCATCTAATGGTTATTATACAAATTATACAATATACTTTTAGTATCACAGTAAACAGTGAACCTACATATTGCACAACGATACATTTTCCCTGTAAGTCTTGACAAAATATATTATTTAAAATAATATACTGACTGTGATAACTGATAAATGACGCGATGATATTCAAAATATTATCCAAAATTTTCAATCAATGATTTTGAAAAATATTTAAATAACACTGTACACTATGATATTACTGCTTGCTAATAATATTTAATAATAAATTAAGTGGATACGTAAATATTATGAAAAATAAACTTTAGTATCTCTTAATTGATCATTCAGTATTATTTGTTTTTTAATATGTGATACGTGTATGTATTTGTTTTTATTTTTTTGTATAACCAAATAATAAAAAAATATCTGTAAATTACTCTTAATATTATCTACTGCTGTCGGGAAACTTAAAAATAAATAAATATTATTTTCCTGCAACATTAAAACTTGCAGCTGCTTAGTTCATTAACTAAATATTGCATTTCACCACAGTATGTTTTTTTAAATGTGCACTATTTTTTTTTCCCAATTCATGAAACGCCTTAGTTTTAAATAAATTATTTATTGTATTATTCATGAATAAAGTAATTTCATGAGTGGGTTGTAACAATCTTAAATAGTCTTTAATTTAATAATTATAATATAAATATATTTACGTGCATAATAAGTATATTAACGTTTATGCAAAGCAATAATTATAGATTATACATAAAATCAATCCAATTTAGTCAATAGTATATTTTTCCAAACTCAATAATTCAATTTTTTTTTTTTTTTTTGTTAATTGATAGTTTAAATTATGTTTAATAATAAAATAATTTAAGCCACTTAAAAAGTCAATATAATATTAGAGCACTCAGACCACACAAAAAACTCGAATATCATTAAAATTGTGTCAATTAATTTTACAATAAATATAAAACAGTTTGTAAATTTACTTTTTAGTAATTATATCTGTTATTTTAGTATTGATAACTTGAAATATAAATAATTAAATTATTGTGTTAATTATGTCTCATCTTAGTTAAATTTTATTAATATCTAATTTAAACTTCGACTCTTCCATTATTGCATTAATTTATAGTCCAAAATTATTTGTCAAAAATATTTTTCAAAGCGTAGAAAATTTAGGTATATGAACCAATAAAGAAATTTAAGTATTTTTTTATGATTATTTAATTAATCCTGTAGTTGTATTGTACCAACTTAAATTCAAAAAAAAAAAATGTTTGAATATAATATAAATGATCTAATTTATGTATACTATTTTATAAAGCCAACAAATTGTTTAAATATATTTTTCATATTATTATTTTTAGTCATCAAGTTTAAATCAAGAAAAACAAACATTGTTTATTTTACTTCCACAGTAATTTGTTTTTCTTTGAAACGATAAAATAAACTAAAAATCAACTACTTTACATTGTTTGCGCGATTCATAGTCACAGTAAATAACTAAATATATTTCATCTGTTCGTACAAATACAATGTCCATATACATATACAGATTACATCTCGCTTGCTATCAAACAGTTATATAAACTATAGCTAAGTATACAAATACCGTTTTATATGTCACAACGTTCGGTTTTCCAACGCCTCTAATCTTCTTGACAGATATTTACTTAAAGCTGAATAACGTTTAAGTAGAATTCCACAGAGATGATAAATATCTTAAAAAATTCTATCAAAAACCGAATTCTCTAAAACTGATGATTTTACAATATATTATTACAGACATTTTTGGCTTGATAAAATATTTTGAATATTTTGAATTGAAACCCAGTATATTGTCAATATTTTGTAAATGAGTAAATATATGAGAGGAGTATACATATATAATAAAAATGAGAACCTTCAAATATGTTCAATGTTCATACTTCATATTTATTTTTTGTCAGAGAAAATAACTTTTAAAATTAGAACGATTCATAATGTAAAGACATTTTACATTATAGCTATCAAATATACGTATTATTTAAATAGTTCATAAATTATAATTATAATATTATGAGTATTAGACGAAATAAATAATTTAACTGATGAGGATATTGAAACAGATTTTTAATATTATAGAAACAAATATGTATGTAAATAAAAATTATATTTTTTATTAAAAATAAATATATATATATATATATTATTTATAAAATGAAAAAATAGTAAACTGTATCTAAAATATTGAAAATACATTATGCATATATTTCATTATACACAGGTGTTTTGTGAAGAAAAAAATGTTAATAAAATTATGAGATACGGAGAATTTTTTTTCATTGAACGAAAAAATATCATCTACAAAGATTATTAGTTTTGAAAAATCTCTGTCATATTGTTTAAAAAAATAATTGTATTTTTGTATATTTAAAAAAAATATATTTATAATGATTTAACTAGTTTTATATAAAATTTGTAAAATCTATTTGGTATTATTTAAAAAATTGTATTGTTATGTATTAGAAAAAAACATAGTTAATAAAAATTATATACTCGTATATTCCTGTATAATACGTTTATGGCTAATCTTCAAACATGGATACACTTTAAAAACATAGATTTAATTTGTGGCCCGATCTCCGGGTAGTAAAAAGTAAACAAATATTATTTTTTTTTTTTAGGCAGGTAAAATATGGCCCAATAACTGACCATCTATATGTATTATAGATATAAATATATAATTATCATACACCATATATTTTAATTACTGTATTAATTATGGAGAACATTTTGTTTACTTAAATAACTGTATTAAAATCATTGTATACAAATTGTATAAAGTAATTCTTTGCAAAAAACGTTCAATGTCAAAAACTTGATTGTGATTAAAAATAAATAATTTATGATTCTCAAATTTTGGTCATTTTGTGTGTATATAATATAATATAAATATTTATATTTTATGGTTGTAAATATCTAATATCATCATAATTTAAAAATATAGTTATTTTTTTTTCATAAATTATAATTTTTTTGTTAAATGCTTTAAAGAAAAAAATAAATAAGTTTAATCTCATCGCGTATACAAAATTAATTAAAGATAGTTGGAGATAAGCTAACGAAAAAAAGTGATTTATAGTATTGTTATACAATAAATATCAATAATAAATACTTTGCAAATTGCCAATACTGCAATAAAAATAAGTTTATGCGAAAACTTTAATCTGAATCTTACTAAAAAAAGTAACTATCTCAACTTTCTGTTGAAATGTTAATTGTTGACAGAAAATATACAATTAAAATACTAAGAATGTGTATTGTGATTTAAAGTTTTTTTAATGAGATTCTACCACCCGAATCTATTGAATATGAATATCATCCGAACAGAATTACTAACTTGAATCTATTTATTTATTCTTATTTACAGTTGGATAACTATTATCTTAGTATATAAATTATATATCATATTCCACTGTTTAATTTATCTCTGTTTTAATTATTCATATTAAAAAAGAGAGACAGAGAGAGAGAAAGAGATAGTGAGTGAGAAAGAGAATAAAAATAAAAATATTATAGCATGGAAAGAGCAATTTCCATAATTATATTCAATTTAATATCATCAAATCGACGTCCATGATTAGCCCACCAGGTCGGGGCACAAATATAGAGTACACTACACTATGACTGACCTGTAGGCGTGGGCGTCAGCTGTTTCATGTCAATAGTGTGATGGATTTCAAAGTTCTTGAATATGTTTGTCTTCCTTGACTTGAAGTTACGCTGCAACCCACTTATGGCTGATGTGAATGCCTTGGTATAAATTCGCGTGTCGAATGACTTGTATGGCAACACCAGGCCGACAGTTAGGTTTTGGTGCTGGCGGCGTGCCATGATCCGTGGTACAGTGGGCTGCTGCCGGCGAAAACGCTCCGTGCTAGTGGTGGTTGCCACTGGCGTGGTGGACAACTGCACCGGTTCCTTGAGACGGTTCTTGAGCACTCCTAGCTTAATAGAGCTCTGGCCTCGGCCATGACCAAACACCGTCTGTGACACGTCCACCGGCCGGCTGTTTATTTGTATACGCGATCCGTTCCTGGGTGTCCAGCCATGCGTGGCGGCGGCAACGGCTAGAGCGAAGACCAGTGCAGACCACCACCAACATTGCACTGCTCTGGTAAGTCTCATCCTCCGATCTGTCCTGAAAACAGAAATAGTGGCATACATCACTTTATATAGTTGGCACTGCGGTTGAAGAACTATTGTACTTCTTTAAACCTACTACAGATCTCTAAGGACCTGCAGGGGATTACTTTGTATATATATATATATATGGAGAAAATAATATACATTTCGATCGGTCCTATGTATATACTCGTATGTATACCAGTATACCAGTTAAAAAATATTTAAAATTCAATTAAAGATTAAAATTTCAATACAATAATGGGATAGCTCGGATACTGTTATATGACGTATTGTCTTTAAGTTTCGCAATAAGCAACTATTTACTATAAAAAAGCAGTATTAGAAATAACAAACGTAAATTTCAAGTGTCTATATATATTGTGTGTAAAACTGAGACAATATAAGATATTTGATTTTTTTACGATAAGTGGATAATAATTTATTAAATAAATATTATGCAAAATTAAAAAAAAAAAAAAAAACGCAATAAGTAGCGTAATATTATTTTTATAAATTACATACACTCGTTATTATTAATTTTCTTTTAAATTAAATACACTCGTTTTTAGCTATTTAAACTAAAAATATAAAAAGCAAGAACTAAAAAAAATTATTGTTTAAGTTCAAGATGCAAACAAAAACTATATCATCTCACAGTAACTTTCCTGCTAACACCTGACGCAATATGAATAACGTGTTAATTTAATGTTCAATGTTATAAATTATTTATTTGTCACCTGAACCACTAAAGAAAAATGTAAATGGTAATAAAAATATAAAACGACTTTAAAATATAAATATAGCTAATGAGTTACATTTTTTTAAGTATATTTCATCGATTTTACTTTTAAGTAGGTAGAAATGTGAACTAATCATATTACAATATTTATGTTAGACTGCTGAAATGGCTTTTCAGTATTTTTACATAGTTTCTATTTATTAATAAATTCATTATTTTAGAATCGTTGGATTCAATATACAAATTATAAATCAAACAATCTGAACATGTCTGCCATGCTATGGTTTGATGTTTAATTATTATGCATTGTAAAAACCAATATATTTCAATTAAAATGTTTCAGAGTATCAATATTTTGTACGTAATTAAAAAATAAAAACTACATATTTTATAAAATTTATTTATTTATTTTTTTGTGGGTTTTTGATTTGGCGATAATTTATATTTATTTATTTACTGTTTGTAGTATTTATTTATTATAGAACATAAGTATATTATTAAATAATTTGACAATATATAATGATTATAACAACTCTGTTTTCAAATTAATAATAATGAAATATACTATATTGAAATATTTAATTATAAAGCATGAATAAATAAATTCATATATTGAATTGATAAATTAACATAAATTAAATTTTCTTAAATTCATTATAAATATTTTAAAATTGTAAACAAGTACTTCAATTTCAATTCATATGATAAACGATGTTTTTAAACTATAAATTATTATCATACCCAAAACTTAAAATACGATTATAAAGAAATAAATGTACCAATATAAACACTAGTATGGTTCATTAATTTAATTATCCGAACGTTGTATGATTTGTAGGTTTATTTTTCTATATTTTTATTTGTTCTGCGTTTTGAACAAATATTATTTTTTTTTATTAACTAATACTTTGTTTTTGTCTTTATAAAAACACATTAATTTGAAAACAATTTAGAAGTTAATGTTTCAATTTTTGAATGTACGATGTACGTTTTTACCAAATAGTATATAATTTATTATTTCTAAGTCATTAAGATAAGTTTAGAAAATTCATATAAGTTTAATGCTATTTGAATATAATATAAACCTTTTTTGATACTTGTATTACATGTTTTATTATTGTGTACCTCCCTGACCATAAAATAGGTATAAAATGACGGCTGAGGGTGAGTTGCGGCCTGACTTGTCGTTCCCGGTGTTGATGGCCGGTGAATTGCAGCCCGAGTAGTTATCATTATCTAAGTTATATATACATAACTATAAATGAAAGATTCGCTATGTATATGGGAAGTTATATTTTTATATAATATAGACCAGTGATTCCCAACCTTTTTGCTACTACGGACCACTTCAATGAGAATCAATTTTTTTCACACATTTTAAAATTTAAATTATAAATAAATAAAAACAATGAAATTCCTTACAATAATCTTTAATATTTATAATTGATTATGTTTTACTAAAGCTTAAAATAATTAACAATTTAACACAAATTACTATTCTAAAAAAATGTACATTATAATATTAAATTTATTTAAGGTTGTATTATTATCATTATATTATATTATTAATAAAATTTTAAATTTAAATTAATATATTAGTGGAATACATTTATAATTAAATTAAACTTAAAAATTTGTTATCTTTTGTTAGATTTGATAAAACAGAACTAAAATAACTACGACAACACAAGCATGTCGGCACAGTGACTTGGTAGCATACTAGCATATTATTATATTATACTATATTAATTATAATATTTGTCATGATATTTATGTTGAGATTTTACAATTATACACCCATCCGGACTTGGCTACTAACCCCTCTATTTCAGACATGAAGCAATTGCTTCAAATAATCTTACAACCCTCTGCCACGTATATACATAATATATACACATTATTGTATGATCGAAATTCGTACGTATCCTTTATAAACCCAGATCACAAATCGTACGTTATTTTGGGACTGGAAACTCACCAACACCGAAAATAACTACAAGTACTTAATATAATTTTCAAATAACTAATATTTGATTTTCTGTAATTATACATAATTTCCACAGAACGTATCAAAAATAAATGTTTGTGGGTAATAGCTAAAGCACAAATAAGTTCGAGTTTTTGAATTTAATTAATGATATAAGATATGTTTAATCTTAAAGTACTGGTATCCGATTGATTTTCCCTTAGGTACTACATTTAGTTTAAGATGTACGATTACCAGTAGGAAAAAATATTTAATGCCGGACAAAATATGAAGATATTCTTTTAATGTGTTGAAATTCAACAATAGAAGAGTTAATAAAAAATAACTATAAGTGTGAAAAAAAGTATTTTCAACATATTGATTTGATTTTACAAGGTTGAACTAAAGAAAAAAAAAATTGAGTTGCTTGGTAAATACAAATGTATAAATACTACGTTGTGTTTATGAATAATATAAATTAACAATGTTGTTAATATAAATTATAAATAAAAGACGTTTATTTTTCCAGCTACATAAAACATAATTTTGAAGAAAAAATATAATTTGGTAATTCAATATTAAATCCATCGTTAAATTATATTCTTTAATCATTACTAGTTAACATTCAAATGGGATTCGAGAACAGTTGGTCATGCATGATGCATTTTACACAATATATATATATATATATATATATATATATATATATATATATATATATGTTGTATTAATGCACACTGTTAATAATTCACCAATCGCCTTTCCAACAATAACTATGTTTGCCACCGTCGACTACTGAGGCAAAGCGACAGCAATTATCATTAAATGAAATAATTAAATTATATTCACCTTAAAAATCAATTAAGTTTTTCTGTGAATATTTTATTATTTTATTGGACTGCTCTCATTTTACTTTAATATATTAATACGTGTACATTTCAAGTATTTATCTAAAAATGGTATAATATGTAATAAATTCATGACAAAAAACCTATAAATTTGAATATCACCACTCAACAATATTTTAACACACACACAAAAAAAAAAAAAAATCGTAACTACAATACCTAAAGGTTGATTGGTAATTGATCGAAATAGTAACCGATTCTTAGCTTTTTAAATGTTTTAAAATACTACTCTTCAATTCGAAGAACGGCGATGATAGTAAAAACTTGAATTGGTTTTTGAGTATGTTAATCATTATGTTGAGGTAATACGCCTATTTTTTCGTGTGATTCCACTGTTTTATGAAGTCTCATGCAGTTCATAAAGAATTGAAGTAATATTTTCTTGTCCACCTTTTTCATAGGTTTTTCATAATTTTCCTCAGTCTGTACTGCATAATTTTTGAGTTAGTTTATTAATATTCGGTGCCATGTTGGTGATTATAATACCAACTGTTACAACCATGCCATATATTCATTGTATAATGTTAAAATTATACCAATGATTATAATATTATTACCATATATATTTTACTAATATGCCGATTTCATTACGCACTGCTGATTGGATATGTGGACTTTGAAACATATGATATATATTATAACTGTTATCAATAAGTAAATTAGGCAAGTAACTAAATTACAGCAAAATAATATATTTTCCAAAATATTTTATCGATTGATTTTTAGATGATTTAATATTCCAACCTATCATCAATTTAAAATATTACTACAGTTTTATAATTCATTAAGGGTATCTTAACTGAAGTGATTTTAAATGTCAAAATAATAAGTAACACATATTATAAATTTACAAAAAAATACTGCAAGAATTTTCATTCTTAAACATATATTTAAAGTACAAAATCAAGTAAATAATGGATATGGTTCGATTTAAAATACGAAAATGATCTAAAAAAAAAATCTTGTATTATGTATGTATAAAATGAAATTTAACTATATGTTTATATGGAGATTATTATACAAAACAAAATACAGTACGTTCATTAATGCTAAAAAAACATATCGTTAACACATTAAAATACACAATGTAACAGATAAAAGAGTAATATTTGTATTTGCCTGTAATTATTTATTTGAGGGGAAAAATATTATAGTTTAATTATTAATTTAACTATATAAATTATTTTATGATTAACCATTTAGTAGACAACAGTTTTGTGTTTACGCTACTGTTTAGTTATTATAAATTAAAGAAGAATTTCTACTCAAAGCTATAGTGACTAGTGAATGTAAAAAAAAAAAAGTGAGCATATTATTATTTGACATTAATGATAAAATTAATTGACAGAATTATCCAACAACTAATCTATTCTAGTAAAAATGTACGTTATCTCTGTCTT